TTCATGGCTTGACTGTGTCTCGCTCTGACAGGAATCAGTTCAAGGCAGATGTGTGTTGGGCTTCTTTCATCCCTCTGCTGGCTCCTGTCCTGCGTCCCGGTGAATGGCGGGTTTGTGTCGGTGATAAAGACAGAATCTGCTGTCCTTCCCTGTGAGAGGGCCGGGCCCAGGAAGTTCAGGTGGGGACACACACCTGAGCATGCTCTCCCCAGAGGCGCCGGCCAGCAGGCACCTGCCCCTCAGGGCCTCGGAGGCCTGGAGGGACTGTCCCCTGCCCGCCTCTGGAGGGCAGCGCTGAGCACGGCCCTGCGTTCCTTCAGGTGACCGACCACAGGTGACTGCGGTCGCTATTTACAAGCTTATTCAACCAGTTAACTGAAACGAGTTCTGATTATAAAGTTAATAATTTTTTGGTAGGATGTCTACCTCTCTTTCGAAGGACGCTTTCTATTTTTTATTTTTTCACACATGAATTACTGAGACTATATCTCGCAGTGGCTTAGAGTCTCTGTGTAAGTATATCCTAAAGAAAACATCTTCCCGCCCCCCTCCCTCTGAGACCCCTCAGTCTGCTCCATGCTTCCATGCCTCTGGTTCTGTTTTATTCCTCAGTTTATTCTGTTCCTTAGGTTCCCCATATGAGTGAGATCCTGTGGTGCTTGTCTATCTGCCTGGCTTATTTCACAGAGCATAACACGCTCCAGGTCCCTCCATGCTGTCCCAAAGCGTGGCACAGTGGTCCCTCGGTTTTCCACTGTAATTCATTCTGGAGACCATTCGAGCTCCGGAACATTCCAAAACCGAGGGATCAGCAGCCGACAGCTGGGCCTCAGGATCTTGCCCTCAGCAGGAGCCGGGTGGCATGTTCGACTTCCAAGGCGTCTTCGAAAACCGAAGCGTTTACTCCGGGTTTACGGCGTTCGTAACCCTAAATGCTCATCAGCGGAGACATTCAAAAACCAAGGCACCACTGTAGATTCTTCTTTTCTATAGCTGCATAGTATTCCATGGTAGGGCTAGGGCTAGGGCTAGGGCTAGGGCTAGGGTTAGGGTTAGGGTTAGGGTTAGGGTTAGGGTTAGGGTTAGGACTAGGGTTAGGGTTGGGGTTGGGGTTAGGGTTAGGGTTAGGGTTAGGGTTGGGGTTAGGACTACAGTTAGGGTTAAGGTTAGGGTTAGGATTGGAGTTAGGACTAGGTTTAGGGTTAGGACTAGGGTTAGTGCTATGGTTAGGGTTAGGGTTAGGACTAGGGTTCGGGTTAGGGTTAGGGTTACTGTTGGGGTTAGGGTTGGGGTTAGGGTTAGGACTAGGGCTATGGTTAGGGTTGGGTTTGGGGTTGGAGGTGGGGTTAGGGTTAGGGTTGGGGTTAGGACTAGGGTTAGGGTTAGGGTTAGGGTTAGGGTTAGGGTTAGGGCTAGGGTTAGGGTTAGGGTTGGGGTTAGGGTTGGGTTAGGGTTAGGACTAGGATTAGGTTTAGGGTTACTGTTGGGGTTAGGACTAGGCTTAGGGTTGGGTTAAGGTTAGGGTTGGGGTTAGGGTTAGGGTTAGGACTAGGGTTAGTGCTATGGTTAGGTCTAGGGTTAGGGTTGGGGTTAGGATTAGGGCTAGGACTAGGGTTAGTGCTATGGTTAGGACAAGGGATATATTTCAAAGTTTTTAGGACAGTGGAGAGGGAGCAAGAGTTGGAGCTGGGAAACTTGATATCCAGGCCCAGAGTTGCTGTTACTGTGGGAGGCTTTTAACCACCCTGAAACTAAGATTTGGTGTCTGCATAATACAAATAAATCTTGATTTGTCAGATTTTTTGAGAATTACTTGGAATCTTGAATATGAGAACATTCTGTAAGTTGTGCAGTCCCGGATGCATGGCTCCTTGCCAGTATTTATGTAGTTCTCATTGTGATTCCGAATGATTCCGAATGAATCTTTAGAAATGAAAAGAGACTGTGGACAGTTGGTCCCCTCCTGTTCTCCACCCGCTGTGCAGCAGGCCTCAGGTCAGATCACACCCCGTGTTACCGACGGGGACTAGGCTTTACTGGAGAACCTTACAAATTAGGGCCATGAAGCAAAGAGAAGATACAGGTCCCTCCAGGGCCATTGACCCCCAGAGAGTGATGCTGGGGCCAGGCTGTTATGCATCAAGGGTGCACGTTCCCAGGAGCCCTCGCTTCTCCCGCTTCCCACAGGGCAAGGAGAGCGGCCTTGTCGGTGGGGATGTCACTCCCAGGACACCCGGCAGCTGGCGTAGGGGTCAGCTGCCTACAGCACTGTCAGGAGTCCTGGAACAGGCAGGGAGCCAGGCCTCTCTCAGAAGCTGATTTTGGGTGCAGCCTCCCCATCTAGAAGTGGGGAGCACTTCCCAGGTGGCCCCTTGTCCAGGCAACCCAGATTGTGTGTTCCCACAGTCACTGCTATCCAGGCCCTTCTGTGCCGGAGCCTGTGTCAGGGTCTCCTTCCTCTTTGAGACTGAGTAATATTCCACTTCTGCGTGCCCCACGTCTTGTTTTTATGCATCCGTCGGCGGGCACGTGGGCTGCCTCCATATTTTAGCAGTTGTGAGTAATGCCACCGTGAACATGAGTATGCAATTTCATTTTATTTTATTTTAAATATGTTTTTATTGATTTTAGAGAGAGAGGAAGGGACAGGGATACGACCCCTTTACCTCCCGACATAGCTCAGGCCGAATAACTCGTGCCTTGCTTGTCAGGCCCGTGTGGACATGTGAGGCCACGGGGACACTGCTGTGAGTCAGGAGGCAGACTCGTCCGGTGCTCCGCTCACCGAGGCAGTAGTCGGGGTGTGCGTGTGGGAAATAAAATATTCAAATGGGTGGCTAGCGATGCGTTTCCGTTTTAGATCCGTAAATGGAGCTGCCTTTTGCATCTAACGGAGGCTGTCTTCATTAAGCTAAACTTTGTTTTAAAAAGAGAGAAGAAAGCGAAAAGGAAACTTCTTATTTTAACCCCGTTTCGGCCTCCGAGCCGCGCCAGAGCGGTTTCGGGAAGGTCCCGGGCCCGTGTCCTTTACCCCCCGCCCTGACCCTGCGAAGTTTTACCGGCCGTTCTCCCTGCCGCCAGGTCACGTCTGCGTAGGCTGTTTCTCGAAGGGGTAGCCGCTCAGCTCACTTAGAAGGGCACCTGCCCCCCAGTGTGAGGGTCAGGGCGCAGAGCCCGAGGCAGGGCCCCCTCTGTCACCAGGAGTCCCCCTGGGACACGGAGCGAGGCCCACCCGGGCGGGCGCCGGGCGGGCTCGAGGTACGGGGCCGCTGTGGAGCCATGAGACCCAGTGGCGATGGCTGGGAAATGTCTCTCCTGGTTTCAGAAGGGGCCTAAGAATGATGTATTATGATCTGTCTCGGGGATATTTTGGTGCCAGCTTATTTGGCTCAGCATAGGAGCCTCCTGTCACCTCCCAGTCTGTATCATGACAGAAAGGTAATTGGGGACCGGAGAAGATGTCAGCAGAGTGTCAATATGGTTTGACCGCTGCCCCTAAGTAATATTGATGACGGGACAGAGAGAGGGATTAATCAGGTGCGAGCCTGCCAAATGTCCAGCGCACCGCCGGCTCCCGAAATAGATGCAGCCTCCCAGCAGAATGCTAAGTGGACTTGAACAGGACAGACTCCTTAGCGACGTCGAGGGAAACCAGACGGGCATCCGGAGAGCTCCAGGAGAGAGCGCGCCTCAGGTCCCACCGGCGTCCCCTCCCCCACGCGCTTGGAAAAGAGCGACATTTATCATATTTTCTGGGGGGGGTTGCATTCTCCCTAGAAACGAATGGGGGGGGGGGTTAAATTAAAAAGCAAAGTGCTGATGAAGCAGTTTTGAAGCGGGTCGTGACTGTGGGTCCTGGGGGACCCACACACGTTTACTCCGTGTCCCACTGAGAGATCAAACGCGCAGACCCGAAGCCCATCGTCACGCTCCGCACCCGCCAGCCAGCTCTGCGTCCCGGGCTGCTCTCTGCCCTGAATCCCAGTGGGAGCCCTGTTGCCACAGCCTCCACCATACCTAGTCCAACCTCGGGGCTGTGCCCCCCATCCTACAGCTTCATGACCACGGTGAGCACTGTCTGGCGTCGTGAAAATTAGAATCACCTAGGAAGTGTTGAAAAACGATTGATCATCAGGCCTCGGAGTAATGAAATAAAATCTCAGGATCAGGGCAGGCCTCCGTGGATTTCGCAGATCTCGAGGCTTCAAGTATGTAGCCAAGGTTGAGAATCGCCCATTTCAAGTTAGCTTGAGCTGCACATATTTTAAAACATAAATAAGAGTGGTTTAGAGAAGAGGAAAGTTTATTTCCCTTTTTGTAAAAGAATCCCTTGCTCCTTCCGGCAACCTGCTCTAGCATTTTTAGGGTTTGACCAATCCTCAGGGCCTAACGAGGCTTCTAGAGCTCCAGCCATCACATTCCCATTCCAGGTGGAAGATTGAGGAGGGCGGGAAGAAAGCAGGGCTTCTCTCCCCGAAAATGACTTTATTTACTACTTCATGTACATATTGTCAGCTGGAATTTGGTTGTATGACTACATCTACCTGCAAAAATGGCTGGATTATATAGCCTTTGACCTGGGCATGAAGGTGCCCC